AGAGACTGATTGGTGCCGTGCGTGTTGGTATTGTTCTATAGCACTATCGGGCCTGAAAATGACATGTTTGGATGCAAAATAGATCAGATATGCTACTTTGGGTATCTGGAAGGATGTGCTGCAGTGACCAAAAATGAACTAACTCCTTATACATATATATGAACTTTCTGGACGGTGGTACTGGTGCCGTGCGTGTTGGTATGGTTTATAGCACCATCGGGCCTGAAAATGACATGTTTGGATGCAAAATGAGGTCAGATATGCTACTTTGGGTTATCTGGAAGGATGTGCTGCAGTGACCAAACATGAACTACTCCTTATACATATATATAACTTTCTGGACGTGGTACTGGTGCCGGTGCGTGTTGGTATGGTTCTATAGCACCATCGGGCCTGAAAATGACATGTTTGGATGCAAAATGAGGTCAGATATGCTACTTTGGGTTATCTGGAAGGATGTGCTGCAGTGACCAAACATGAACTAACTCCTTATACATATTATATGAACTTTCTGGACGGTGGTACTGGTGCCGGTGCTGTTGGTATGGTTCTATAGCACCATCGGCCTGAAAATGACATGTTTTTGGAAAAACTCAAGAAGCATCAAGCACAAAGTGATTCCTGCGAAGGCCCTCCCAAAGGTTTGATTGATGATGTCGTTACCCGTTGGTGGGCTACATATGCTATGATATCTGACCTCATTTTGCATCCAAACATGTCATTTTCAGGCCCGATTGTGCTATAGAACCATACCAACACGCACCGGCACCAGTACCACCGTCCAGAAAGTTCATATATATGTATAAGGAGTTAGTTCATGTTTGGTCACTGCAGCACATCCTTCCAGATAACCCAAAGTAGCATATCTGACCTCATTTTGCATCCAAACATGTCATTTTCAGGCCCGATGTGCTATAGAACCATACCAACAGCACCGGCACCAGTACCACGTCCAGAAAGTTCATATATATGTATAAAGAGTTGGTGAAGTAAGTTATACAAGGTTGTAAGTGGCATCTTCATTGAAAAACGTTAAAAACAGAGATAAAACGCTATAAAACGCTATAAAACGCTAAAAACGCTGTTTTTATACACTACTACACAAACACGCTAAAAAACGCAAACGCTTGGGGCTAGCGTAGCGTATAAAACGCTACGCTAAAACGCTAAAAACGCTACGCTAAAAAACGTTGCGGTTCCATCCTCTAGTCTGCATGCCTTTAGTTGAGCTGCTAGAGCTAGCTAGCTAGCTGGCTCTTCGGCTAATGTATGACATTGTGTAACGTGTTGCTCTCCTTTCTTATCGTTTATCGATTATCGATTGTCTATCTTCACGAGTACATCGTTCCACTTTCTTGTCGTGTGCCGTTTACGTAAGTAGGCTCTAGCTTACTGCCTGCAATAGCAGCAAGCAATGGCCCAGTTATTATTGGGCTGTGTTGTACAACGTGGGCTGCTTTCAATCAACGTGGGCATGACGCTTTAGCTCGCTTTCGATGCTGATCCTGTCTGCCTTGCGCCTGCTTTACTTCAATCTTGGATTGTTTCTAGCTAGTAGTAGCTGGTTGAAACAGCAACGGGAATCTATCTCACGCACTGGGAAGGAGTTGTTGTAAAGTACACAGCTCCATGTTGGCGGAATGCTGGACAAGAACTGGTTCCTCCCCAAATTGATCCTTTGCTGAGCCTTGTTTCCGTCCTGATGAGCTGCATTTGCTGACATGCACAGTGAGGACTGCAGAGCTCCCGAGCAGCAAAAACTACTTGACTGGCACTGCTTGCCACTGTAGCTAGCTAGCTAGCTAGATGGGCCAACCAGCGCAAAACTACCAGATAGTAGATAAACGAACGGGAGGCACATTTTGCTCCTTTCTTGCAGCCAAAGGCAAGGAGCTTCACTGTGTAGTACATGTAGCAGCCAGGCCAAAGCATCTCGGAAATCTTCTGAGCAACTGCTGGCCGGCTGTGGCCAGTTCCTCCCCATTTATGCAAGATTTTCTTTGCGCCATTGCTTTGGCCGACTCCGGCGCGCCGGGACCCAAAAACATTCGGGAAGGGATAGCGGGACTGAATGCACATACATGAGTGACTCAATCGAGTCGCGGTCTCCTTTCCTCATTTTTGTTTTCTCGTCCTCGGAGGGAGCAGCACAACCTCTCACTTGACGGAAACATGAGCAACCAAGATGATGCTACCAATCCCTCCCGCTTGGGCGACGCAAGTATGAAGCAAGCTCCTCCTAGTAATATGAACATCCCTCCAAGCTACGTTTTGTTTGGCGTTTCCCTGCCATTTTACATGAGAGCCTACCACCTGTACCACCACAGCCCTTTGGATACCCTGGTTGGAAAGGTTGCTCAAAGGAGCAACATTACAATGGCCGACCTAAAGGATGCAGATATCAGCGTCAAGAGAGCTGTGGGATTTTCTGTGGCTGGTAGGGCCCTGAAAGTAGCAACATTAGTCAGTGTCGGATCCTTTGGAATGTTTGGTGCTGGTACGACAAATTGGATGATCATGGATTGTTGGCTACCGTACCGGTAGCCATTTCGTGCGACTTTTTTATGCCTTCCTCATGGTTATGCTTCTTGTCTATCGAACCCTTCTTTTCGCACAGCCGTATTTTTCATTGGTGACTGGAAAAGCCTTGAGGAAGGTGTTGTCGCGTCTCGTCGATGGGCCCAGAGCAAACGAAAGACCCTCGACAAGTTTCTGGGTGTGGAAGAACGAGTCGATGAGGATCATCCAGAAGTCGTTTCCCGACGAAATATGACAATACAAGAAGAATCCCAATTGTTGGCAAAGCGCTATTGGGTATCAAGAGAAACTTCTTCCGCTCAGGAGGCACCCGACAATCAACACCCAAAAGCAGAATAAAAAGGAATCGAATCGAATCTATCGGCTCGTGCTACCGGTGCCGGCACAGCTTCGATAGGAAGAGAGACGGACCGAGATGAACATGATCCAGGCCCAAATTGAAAATCTCAAATGGGACAGTGAGATTTCTGGAAAAAGTCAAGATGCTTAACCGTGGTGCTGCAAGTTTTCTTTTTACGTGCACTGGAAGGCTACATGAGTGCTTTCTTCTTGGTTGACAAACCTTCAGTATTGGAAAGCATGAGATTGACTCTTCCATTCGTAGTTCTAGCTCCTTCGGATGATTCATGTAATTCGACGCATTATAAGGTCTACAAGATCGCGACACGCACACATGGCTTTTGTATTGTTGGTCCGTTGACGCAGGATTAGCATTCATCCTTCATGCATAGCATGATTGAAAGCATGAAATTCAAATAGGTATCAGGTACTGTACTTGGGTAGCAGCCATTGATTCCAACTCGCATCTTTCGTCTTGTTTGAAGAACGGTCAAGTTATTCCGATTCCCGATTCCCAGAAGAGTTAGTCTACCAGCCCATCTCAGGCAAGCAAGCAATGTCTCCTGAAGCCTGGCTACTAGTAAGTACTGGCTTGTAGGATAATGCCCAGTATACGTTTCCAACATCGTCAACAAAGGACCTTCTGAGCTGAACCTGAAGCGACCGCCACGGACAGTAATGCTTGGTTTAGGGGTGGGGTTTTGGATGGGAGTCGAGCTCGGGCCATCTTGCTTGAAACGACAACATCGCAAGAGCAAGAACTGTACTAGCTAGCTAGATGCATACTAGCATGTATTCAGGAAACGAAGCGCGGCATCGAACACACTTGGAAGACCAACAGCTGAATCTAGACAGCCCTTCTCGCTCACAAAACTAATGAGCTTTTAGTTGCACTACTCCTTCCAGAAACAATGACAATGTCTTCATCCTCTATTTTGCTTTCCTCCTTCGCTTGCTCTGTGGTATTCGTGACAGCCCTTGCTGCTACCCTAGTAGAGGGCTCTGACAGCAACCTTCGAGATCTCCCAAGCACTAAACTCCGCGGAGCTGCCGCTGTTTTTTGAGATGAAAGTTGGATATTCCTACAAAGCGCCACCAAAATACATGTAGAATCAATCCCCAGGCGTTTGAGCAGGTGCTGTGATCATACCAAAGCGTTTTGATGGTTCGTTCTCTGCTTTTAATTTTCATTGGAAGAAAAATCAACTACAAACACTCAAATAAGATTGAATAAAAACTGATTGAATAGACTAATAGAATGACTTTGTACTAGATACCAATAGCTTTGCATAGGTACATGTAGCTACTTGCATCAACTTTGAATTGTGGTGTGATTTGTCGCCTGGTACAAAGTATAGTTTTCCCGGCTCTGCTGTTTAACACGAGATCCATGAGTGTACCCTTAGATTTTGCTCTAGAATTGGTGGAAAGTCACCAAACCAAGCCATTAAAATAGGTAGGGGTAACCCATTGGAGACTATATATCAATTCTATTACATGTATGGTGGGCCCCCACAATGTTGGTTCACATGAAAATCTGAGTTGCCGTCGCTGGGAGCGCCATGGTCGAGGTTTGTTTTCTTGTTTCGTGGAAGGCGTTTCAAGCTGTTGCACCGGAAGCAGGTCAATTTCGCTTGTTGATGGCAATAGTAACTAGCACTACAGAGAAGTCAGCCTCTTCAAACTACGTATGTAGGAGCCGAACTACGGTAGCTTTGGCGGTATCCATAGTCCAGCCACCGAGGCTACTGTACCGATACGTACGGAGTAGTTGAAACTCGCAAAATCCGCCTTCTGTTGACGACCAATGGATTGTTGTTGTAGTATCAGTAGTAGCGGTCGCTGTTGCTGTCGATTTAGTTGCTGTCGACTTGTTCGGTTGCTTTGGTCGTTGTGTTGTTGACTGTAGTGGCTGCTCCGGTACCGTATACTGCGCCTTTCCTGTCGCTCCGATACGCTTTGGCCTCGCTTGTCACTCTTTCGCAGTTGCTGCCTTGTTGTTTAACAGTAGCATGTTGGCGTAGGCCGCGTAGGTCAAGTTCTGGAGAGAGTGCAAGCGGCAGCAGTAGCAGATTTTTGTTGTTTCGGTGGCGGCGGTAGCGGTCTTGTTGTCTTGCGGAAGCAACAGCTTTGCTGGCGGATGCAGCCCGCTACGATAGACTGTAGTAGTAGCGGTAGCCAATCCTCTTCTTGTTTTACCTTGTAGCAGCGGTAACAGCGGTAGCTGTTGCTTCGTCGTTCGTTCGCTCGTTCCTTCCTTCCTTCCTTCGACACTCTTGTTGTCTTCCCTCGAAAATCCCAACTCCGCAGCAGCTTGTGCCGCTTGCAGTAGCGGTAGCGGCAGCGGTAGCCGATGTTGTCGTTGTTGTACTAGAGTAGCGGTCGATCGGTCCTTCCCTTTGCCATGGCTTTCGCTTCGCTGTGTTGTTGCGGCTTCCACGCTGCCGACGAGCCGTCGAGTGGTGGCAGGTGGTGGCAATGGCCATGGACAACCTCCTCTCGCCGATGGGCTCCAGCATGATCCAGACAACCTTTGAGCACCAAACCAAGTGCTCTACGTTGGTTTTAGAGGTGTTAGAAGCGATCGGAACGGCTTATGTGGTTACCCCTACCATTGTCGCTGGTGTGGAAGTGCGCTTTTCCGCCAAAATAGCGAAATTATTTAAGGGTAGAGTTATGGATCTCGTGTTTTAAAATTAAACGGACTTGTTTCGACGCACGGGACACGGGATTGTCAGACGTCAGTCAGAGGGCCGATCTTCGCTGTTCAAACCAGAGAAAGAACTCCAGCCAATAGACAACTCCCGACGACAACCATGTGGCAATTTCCACCCCACGATCCTCGTTATCGTTAAAAAAGAAAGATCCTGATCATCTCTACAAGACCCGTGCAGAGCAACAACCAATACTGCTGAGATAGGAGCAGTTGTCAAGGGCGTTTGCCACTGATCCTCCCTTTCATCAAGGGTCGATATCTGTTTGGTGCTGAAGTTAGTTGACGGCTGCCTTTGCCCAGAGATTTTCAGGATGGTTTTTCCACAGAGAGGAAGCGCTGCTTTGGCGTTGCTGGTCACCTTCGTGTTAGCAACGGCATCCCTGGTATCTGCTTTTTCGAATCAGGCAAGGTTGACTGATTATTCCTTTTTGAAGTACGAAGAGAAGCTAGGACCCCGACACCATGTTCCAGCCCACTCCAGGGGCTTTGAAATGCGACTCTACGCGCCCAGTGTACTAGACGGTCGTCCAGCAGCAGCAGGAGCTCGCAGTACCCGAAGGAGCGTCAGTAGCTTGTCGGCCATTCCAGAAATTGAAAGATGGCGCATTTTGGAAGGAGGCAGTGTTCAAGGCTTTGTCAAGAATCATCCTGTCATTAAAAATGGAGATATCATAACAACCAGCGCCCTCAAAGCACCCAATGCGGTGGGTAGTCAAATGATTGTCACCACCAGTTCTGGCACAAAATACAAACTGTTGGAGCCGTTGAAAAAGGACAACAAAAAGGGAACTTTCACCATGAACAAGAGGTTTTCAGCCAAAAAATCTCCCAGCGTCAAGTTGAGTGGCAATGTTCCCCTTGTGGATGATTGGAAATTGCTCGACAACGATAGTGTGCAAGGCATTGTGTTCAACCACCCCACCATTCCTGATGGTCAAATATTGGTCACGTCTACCCTAAAGAATCCAAAGGGAGCCAATTCCAAGGCAGTTGTTAACACCGTTTCAGGAAGCCGATACCGATTGGGTCAGCCGGAATTTGCGGCCGAAGTGGCTAACAGTGGTCCGGCTGCGGCTCCTGCCAAGCCAGCCGAGGCCAAGAAAAGCAGTGGATTCAGTTTCTTTGGCGGTGGTGCTCCCAAGAAGACAACAGCTCCACCACCACCAACTCGTGCGTCCACTCCAAACGGTGCAGCTGCTCCAGCAAAGCCCGCTGCAGAAGATGAAAAGGAACTGCGACAGAGACGTGTTCAAGCTCAGCGCACCTATGGCCTGAGTGGGGAAACACTGGGAGAAAACGGCCAGTATCTCTTGGCAGGACAACCCATGAAGAGTACATCTGGCAAGTCCCTCATCTTTCGAGCATACAGGGGCGATGACAATGGTTTGCCCATTGGAGATGTAGACACCGATGCCATTACCATCAAGATCTCCACCAACAGTGAATCTATCGAACGAGAGGCTGGCAATTATCGCGCGATTGCACAATCTGGATTTACTCGAGGACAGTTTGTTCAGTTTTTGGAGTATTTGCCCGGTGACAAGCTAAACTCTAGCATGGGTCGCAGTAAGAGCCAAAGTGCATTGGTAATCGAACGCGGAGAGGAAGATCTAAAGACATATCTGGCTAGGCGACGAGATGAAGGAGGATTGTCGGGTAAAGAGTTGAGAGAGGCGGCTGCGGCTGCCATCCAATGCATTCAGGCCGCGCACAGTAGTGGCTTGGTATGGACAGACATGAAAACGGAGAATTTCGTAGTAACTCGAGCTGGCGAATTCAAGGGAATTGATCTCGAATCAGCAATGCCAATCAACGGAAACCCCGTAGACTACTCTCCTGAAGCTTGTCCTCCTGAGTTTGCCCAGGCTTTCTTGGCGGGTGAAGGTCCTTACTTCACTCTGCAACCAAACTATGACATGTGGAGCTTCGGAATGATGTGTTATGAAATGGCTACAGGAGCAGGGTACTTTGACAACAAGTCTCCGATTCAGATCACGCGAGCACTATCCAATATGGAGTCTTTTGAGGTCCCGGATGACGTTGAACTGGATGGTAGAATGAAGAGCTTGATTGAAGACTGCCTGCAAGTTGATCCGAAAAAGAGACCGTCGACGGCGCAGGTTTTGCTACACCCCTACTTCTTGACCACTGGATTTGGACCCTTTAGTTTCTAACTTACATCAATAGTTTGGACCAAAACGAAGTAGTGACCCAACGATGAAAGAGCACCCCCAAAATGCTTACATGTTGGTGGTCGGATTGAATGGTCTGTTTTAGCACAACAACACGCGATGAATTACACCGCTTGCTGCCTTCTATGAAGTAGAACATTATGCCACACAAGGTGTAAGTTCTATTCTCGACACTGCTTGTCCGGTTGTATACTATCCGCTACGGTACATGACAAACAAAGGCCGACATCATTTCCTGGTGACAGACCGGTGCATGATGGCTGCATCGATGATTGATTCACGTGACCCTCCAAGCTGCAAGAAAGCACTTGAAATGAAGAGCTCTCTTGCATTTGCTTGGGACGGTACAATCGAGTGCGTCATTGTCCATATTTCGAAGACAACGGGAACAACGAAAACAACTAGAACAGACTTCATTGACGAGATATCAAATCACGACGATCAGACTTCATTGACGAGATATCAAATCACGACGATCAGACGAGCTTCCATTACAATAAATCTGTCTACTAGTGGTAGAATAAATAGCTTGTGGTGGTAAAGTTGGGGCCTCAAGAAGTTTCCCTTCCTTCCAAACCGTGCTTATTTTGAAAGGATAGCATCCTTGGCAGAGTCAAACGGTTTAGGAAGATTTGCGACGGGGGAACCCTCACTTTCCTTCTTCACCCACGACGTTGCCTGCTTCAGAGCCACTTTGCCAATAAAGTTTATGATAGGTTTGGGGACAGATCCAGCCATCTTAATATCACAGGCATAGAAAACACGTGTGCAATCAGGTTTGGAAGGGTGTTCCGCGACATGCCAGTGTCCAGACACATCATCAAAATCACTAGTCTTGTCATAGTCCAAAGTCCAAGTCATGGATCCTTCTCTGGGGTGGAAAGTGTGATCATAAAAAGATGTGTACTGAAGAGTTCGAGAGAGTCAGAAGAGAGTCAGAAATTTTCTCAATCCTAAGCAAGGTCTTCAAAGATCAACTGGCTATATAGTGTTGATCTGTTTTGTATAAAACTCACCTTGTATCCCGGCATAACACCCATGACCATCTTGGTCTTGATCTGGTATTTTCCATCCTTTTGAGGTGCCACTTTGTAGTTCTTGGATTCCAATACTTTGGCCACCTTTTTCTTGTAGTTGTCAAGGTCCAAAATCTGGCTCCAGACAGCATCTAGTGGCGCTTGGATATCTTGAACACAAATGGCGCCCCCAGCTGGATTAGGATCGTTTGGGTCTGGCATGGATTGCTTCATTACTGATTTTCCTTCGGCGAGTTTCTTTTCTTCGCTCTTATTCAAGGAAAGGCCCTCAAATTTACCTGGTTTGTAGGGAGACAAAACAGGACCATGGCCATGGGGCTTATTGTAGTCTTTCTTGGCAAAGGCGGACGAATAAAGGACCAGTAGAAGTGCGGTGAATAAAAGTCTTGTCATGGTGGTGGAACGGTAGTTGCAGTATTTCTTGGCTGATGGTAATTAGTAGTGATGTAGCACTTTAGTTTTCAGCGAAGCAAGAAGGATAGATTTGTGATGGATAGCCTCGCTCTCGTCTTTTACGGCTGTTTTCAGATTGTCTACGACGTGCCTCTTTGATGAGGGGTGTGTTGTGTGTTGCCGACCGCTGATGTCGTATCTTTTGGCAAATCATTGGATTTCGTTGTGGGCTTGAGTTCAGATCTTGCTTGATGGCAGCCAAACGATGACGTAAGAGCCCGATCACGAATGAAATCAGTTCGCGTTTTGCAACGGTCAAAACACGAGCGCTCCACACTCCACTTTTGGAGCATCAAAATTGTGCCAATCTAACCACATCATAGTCAGAAGATCAGCATTCAAACAGGCTACCCTCTTCTAGGAGATGCTGATCCTTTATCATTTTGTGGTGGAAGGCAGGGTTTCTTTGCTTGCAACAATATCCTGGCTTGGGTGTGACTTTGCCAGCAGCTGGTCCAAGCTTTGGAGACAGACTTGACAAACAAACTGCGCAATTGGTAAGACTATTTGGTGCCACCAAAGAAGAATCAGAAAAGTTTAAATCAATGAACAGCAAACTGACACATGTTGACAATAAAAGAAAAGTCATCCATTACATGTTGGAATATGCTTGTGGTTTGCAGCTCGCTCTCAGCTGTAATATCTCATGCAACAATTGCTAGGAGCAAGCTGTGAATCAATACAGTTAGGCAGTGATAGGTTATAGTAGTGAACAAGCTATTTGTAGCTGTGGCATGGCCTACGGCGGCCAGCTAGATAGCTGTGTAGAATATAGTTGTGGTGGCACAATGCCAAAGGAAACACGTCAAGAACATTCTTAATAATACGGTATTTCGAATATTGCTTTTACGTTTTGCTTATTTGACGTTTTGTACAGGCTCGTTCGGTGGTACTCCTCTAGTACCAGTACCTCGATGGAAAGTTAGCCTGTACGGTATGGAAGTCGATTGGTCGAGCTGGTCGGCTGGGCTTCGAGCAGCCACCGCATGGCTCCCGATGCGTCCATCTCGTGTGTCGACTTACTTGTTGCTGTTGTTTTGTATGAAACAGCATTGTTATCCTATTGTTGACACCAGGTGAACTGTACTGATCGAAGAGATAGAAAGAGCACATTTAGTGTACAATGAGCAACTCTCGTCGCGTGTCGTACTTTTACGATGCCGAGATTGGCAATTATCATTATGGTCAAGGTACGTGATATCTAGCTACAGCAGTACTGGGTGGCATGAGTGAAGAGGTAACTACCTGGAAACTATCTCTGATGATCTCTCTTCTCTATTATATTGTTGTCTGTATTAACTTCTATATATCTAATGATGTTATACAGGCCACCCCATGAAACCGCACCGTGTCCGCATGACGCACAATTTGGTGGTGAATTACGGTCTCTACCGCAAGATGGAAGTGTTTCGGCCTCGACTGTGCAGTCCGACCGCCATGACAAGGTTTCATTCGGACGATTACATTAATTTCTTACGGGTCATTACGCCCGACAACATGCAAGAGTACATTCGACAACTCCAGCGATTCAATGTGGGAGAAGATTGTCCCGTCTTTGATGGGCTGTTTGAATTTTGTCAACTCTATACTAGTGGCTCAATTGGTGGTGCCGCCCGATTGAATGAAAACCGCGCCGATATTGTTATTAATTGGGCTGGTGGATTGCATCATGCCAAAAAAGCCGAAGCAAGTGGATTCTGTTATGTCAACGATTGTGTCTTGGCCATTTTGGAATTGCTCAAACGCCACGAACGTGTTCTCTACATTGACATTGACATTCATCACGGCGACGGAGTCGAAGAAGCCTTTTATGCCACCAACAGGGTCATGACGGTTTCTTTTCACAAATTCGGAGAATACTTTCCCGGAACTGGCGATGTCTTGGATATTGGATATGCCGACGGCAAGAATTACGCCATTAACTTTCCACTCAATGATGGAATGGATGATGCCGCCTATGAATCCATTTTTCGACCTGTGATTGGTAAAGTCATGGAGCTATTTGCACCCGGGGCCGTCGTACTGCAGTGTGGAGCCGACTCGCTCAGTGGAGATCGATTGGGGTGTTTCAATCTATCCATCAAGGGACATGCCGATTGTGTTGAATTTGTTCGTACATTCAACATTCCCATGCTGGTATTGGGAGGAGGAGGATACACTCTCCGTAACGTCCCACGATGTTGGACGTACGAAACATCCGTATTGACGGGAGAAGATGTCAAGGATGAATTGCCCTTTAACGACTACTTTGAGTACTTTGGACCCGATTATCGATTGCATTTGCCGGTCAGCAATTTGGAAAATTTGAATTCGAGTGAATATCTCGAACGCACCAAATTGCAACTGCTCAACATTCTCAAAGAAGTTGAACCCGTGCCCGGCACACAAATTCAAACGGGACAAGTCGAATCCCAATTGCATCCCCAAATTGGGATGCCCATATTAGGAGACCACAATAACGACAACAACCACATGGAGGAGGATCCTGACAAGCGACCACCAGCACCGGCGGCCATGGTGTAAGGAATGATCCGTTCGATGGCGGACAAGCGAAACAACAAATTATGTGCGGAAAACAGATGGGGTCGGCTAGCAACAAAAAAAGAGAGCTGGCTGTTTACGACTCGCAACGAGGGTTGCTGCAAAGGGATGGCGACGGTGGCGTGCAGACAGGTCTACCGTACCGTACAATCAACTAACTATACTACGTGAATCTTACAAACTTACCGGACAACTACAAGCTAGTTATGATAAAGCATGTTTTGATACTCAAGTGTTGTCATTCCTTGCTTACCTGGCTGGACGTAATGTAGAATGGCAATAACAGTCATATACATGTGGTGTCAGACGGACAGCTAGCCAGTGTTCTGCTCCGGTGGTAGAAAAGGAGCATCCCTTCGTCGTTTCTTGGATCTGGTGTGGTGGTTCGGACGTTTGGACTGTTTGCATCGTTCTTGACAAAAAACTGAAGTGCTTGTATTTGCAGTCCCCAACAGGAGCCTCTTCAAGCCAACCCATGGCCTGCCTCTGATGTACTAGTATCCTCCTGGCCATCTGCCAAGCAATTCCCAATTGAAATGCAGCCCGGTCTGATTCTGGAGTTGGTCCAGGAATGCACTGGCATAGACCGCTGGGCCGGGATTAGGTCCTCCTGATGTCGGGCGTGGAAAGTGTCCTGATGTGGGGCCAGGCATGGGACCAGCTGTGTGGCCCGGAGACTCGATGGACCGGGAGTAGGTCCTGGTACGCGGCCTGGAGTACGGGTAGCTCGGCCCTGATGTTGGGTCCAGGTGTCTGGGCACCGGTCCGGGAAACTTCCCGTGCAGAATGGACCCTGAAACAAATGCTTTCAGCCTTCAGAGATCCCTACTAGTTTCTCTTGGATCTGTATATCATAGGTATTGTTCTACTTGATGGCAGATACAGCCTGTAGCCATGTGATGGGCTCTTCCATGGCCCTGCTACGTTATGTAAACTCTCGTGTTTTGCAATTTGCTGCACGATTTGCGATGTACATGTAGTAGCCACTTTGCTATGTGTCTGGCTTGCCAAACTGCTGCTATCGAATGATGAGAATCTTTCAGAAATCGCATGTCAAAGTAATTCTACTGATGGTTACCCAAGTTATCTACTTTTTGGAAGGTTCTTTCGGAAAGACTCGTTGAGAGGCGGAGGTGGGTTGGGCGAGAATCGAGAATAGAATCGGCACTTGATGTCTGTGCGAATGGTATGTACCGGTATTAATTAATGAAGGTAACAAACAGTGAAACACACCTGCAAAATCTTTTCGTTTGTCGTTTGGTTAGGCGTCGCTTGATGTGTGCCTTCGTGATTCTGGATTACTAGAGTGTGTTTGCTTCATTCAGCCAGCACGTCATCAAGCTACAATTCCATGAACACAAAGAACCATCCGGCTGCTAGGACAGCACTGACCATCATGCCGACACCAGTACTTGACATGGCCCCAGATTTCGTCTCGTATCCAATTCCAGCTGTAGATCCCAATACCGTCATGCACAAGAATGAGATTGAGATCTGATACTTCTGAAGCAAGTCAAGAATTCTCCAGGGTACAATAATTAATACACAAACATGAAACTCACCTTCCGGATCCCAATATATTTCGTCAGCATGCTGGGCTTTGGGGCCCACAAAACTATAGGCGATTTGTTGCTGGGTTTCATTTCCCATGGAGGGCGCATACGTTGCCACCACTACAATATCTTCGACCTCTTCCAAAATGTAAAGATCAGCATCCGCGAGGGTCAGGTTCTCGCACATGGTATCATTGACGACCATGCTTCGTTGCACGGCCACCTGTGGTTCCTGATCGCAATAAAAGTTTGCCCAGTACGCATCGCTGGCATTGTTGGTACTGGCTTCCGCCTCATAGTCCCATTTATAGTCTCCAAAGGGTATGAAACCGAGATCTTCCGTGACATTTTCAAAGGAAACATGAGCATTACGGGCCCATTTGTGATGGTTCACTTTTTTGTCTAATCCTCCAGGCGCACCAGCACCAGGTTTGTCGTCACCACCTCCTAGTTCTTCCGATCTAGCAGTGACGGCAATTTCACTGAAATCCACTTCCACCTTGAGTTCTGACTTGATGGAACTCATGAGTGCCAAGTTGGTGCCATTGGCCAACCAAGGAAAGTTGAGAATTCGAACATCAATCTTCATGGTGTTGGCAGTGACCTTATCGCCCATGTCTGCTTGACTGACGGTGAAATTGAAGAGGACCGTGTAATCCTGTGTCTCAATGTTCCAATAGGAAAGATCCCCCACCTTGGTGACATTGGTAAAGTTGTGGAATTGAGTCAGTTCAAATTTCTGCAAGACGAGATCATCATCCCAGTTGTAAGCCTGTTCTTCATCCGACCGGTCTTCCATGGTCTTGCCATCATTCTTGGCGTATTCGATAATGCTGTCAAATGTGACTTCATAGGAAGCGGCGGTATCGGTAAAGTCATCGACTCCCTCTTCCTCTTGGAATTCTTGTTTGTATTCTACCTTGAGGGTCAGGCCCTTCTTGTCGGCTTTGACCTTGTATTCGATCTTGTCACGAATGTCGGCAGGATCAATAAATAGGCCACGAGCCATGGGTTGATCACTCTCGCCATTGGCACTGCAAGAAAACTTGACTTCTCGTTTGATGTCCGCGTCGCCTTCTTTGGATGTGGCTGAGATAACAGTTGTCAGAAAAGAAAAAGAAAGATGAGATACCCAAATATATGTTGTTCACAATTACACCAAGAGTCCGCAACTCACAATATTTATAATCGGAGCTTGCTTTACACTCTCGTGATGGAGGGCCTTTGGCGACCGCCTTGAGTCCTCTTGATGCTTCTCCTCGTCCATCGTATGTTTGACCATTGGGAAGGATGGGGAGGCTCTTTTTGCTTCGGGAAGGGGCTCCCTTGAGCTTGGAGGCTGAACTGGGCAGCACAAGGAGACAAGAGACGAGCGCCAAAAGGGGAAGAGACTTCATGGTTGGTTTTTACTAGCTAAAGGAGGAGACTAGCTATAGTGACTACTGATGTGATGCGGGTCTTGTGCCGGGTTTTTGTCTGGATCATCCCATCATCAACTCCACCCTCCAACGCAATGATTTTCCCTTTTCTGGCTTGCCGCACGAAGATGAACAAAAAGTGAGTGGCTTGGCGGCTAGAAACGGCAGCTGAAACGGTCGTGCCGATTGAAAATAATTTTGGCGCTGCAGTTATATATGGTAATTTTATTTAAGTCCCTTTTGGGATTAACCCAGTCCCCGTTGCTGTATCTTTGTCCGTGACTGACGTCAGCGATCGAAGAATCCTTTCACCTTCAATCTTTGCTCCTTTGGACTGTCTCATCTCTAACAGAAATAGAACAGGCAGTAGGTGTTGCGGTGGCTTTGTCATCATTTCGTCGGCATCTTCCAGTGGTCAGAAGATATCTCATTGTCAACCGCACCCAGCGAAAATCCTTATTTGTGTTGTTCGCGATTGCAATTCAGTTATTGTTAGACAGCTATTTGAGCCACAAGATATCATGCAGTTCTCCTTGGTACCAGTGCTGTGGGCTACCTTGCTGGGCAGCAGCGCTGCCTTTACCGGCATTGCCAGCAAACCCCTTGCGGCATCGCAATGCCGACAGTTTCAGCTGAGGACCGGTCCTGTTTTGAAAGCCAGCGCCGAAGAGCAATCTCAGGCGGACGATGAAATCGAAAAACTCAAAACCATGGCGGCCAAGCTCCGAGCGGAAGCCATGGCATTGGAAGCTGACCGAGCCAAGGAACTGGCCGAAGCTGCAGAACGGGCCTTTCAAAAGTTTGATACCAACCAAGATGGAGAAATTTCCCTAGAAGAACTTAAAGCGGGCCTCGAAAAGGCTTTCAAAATGGAACTACCGGAAAAACGGGTCCAACAACTCATGAACGACTTTGACACAAACCAGGATGGAGCTCTGCAGTTGAATGAGTTTGTCGGTGTTGACAAATTCCGAAATGCACTCGAACAATTGGCCCGTGAAGAAAAGATGGCCGCGCAAGAGGCACAAAAGGCTGCCAAAGTAGAATCTGAAATGGCCAAGTTTCTGGAAGAACAAATGGAACTCATCAACGACCGCGACCCTTCGACAAGCGAAAAGGTGATATCGACGCTGCCTTACCTCTTCCCCTTGATGGATGGACTCCAATTTGGAAGATTCTTATTGGTGGAAAATGCTGACAATCCGCTCGTAGCCATTGTGGCAATCCTCTTTGCACTCTACAAGAGTGTCCCCTTTAGTGGGTTCATTGCCTTTATTGCTCTCAATCTGTTGAGCTCCAATCCGTCCATCAACAAGCTCATTCGATTCAACATGCAACAAGCCATCTTTTTGGATATCTTTTTGTTCTTCCCGGGGCTCTTGGGGGCTCTCTACATTCTGGTGGCGCAAAACATGGCAGGAATCTCGGTTCCTCCGGCTGTCACTGAGATTGGCAGCGATGCCGTCTTTTTCAGTCTGCTGGTAGCCATTGGGTATGCCACGGTGAGTTCGTTACTTGGAAAGGAACCAGACCAGATTCCGATCATTTCCAAGTTGGTACAGGATCGAATGCCGAGGTTTGAAGTTGACATGTCGCAATTCGGACAAGTGCAGCCAAGAAAGGAGGAAACGCCTGGTGATGATGACAAGAAGGATAAGAAAGATTAAAAACATAACGAAGCCTTCTCTCACTATATATATCGAGTCTCTTACGTTGCGCGAGGGTCAATAGAAAATTGATGCAGAGATGTAGTACCGGAATGAAATTTTATTCTCCATTTGAACAATATAAAAAAGTCAGCATTCATGGTACAGTCTAGAAAGAAAAGAGAGCTGGACAAGAGGCACAAAAGGCTGCCCAAGTAGAATCTGAAATGCCCAAGTTTCTGGAAGAACAAATGGCACTCGTCAACGACTGCAGACGGAGAAGATAAGCTCTACTCTACCATATCTCTTCCCCTTGATGGATGGACTGCAGTTTGGACGATTCTTACTGGTAGAAAATGCTGACAATCCGCTCTTAGCCATTGTGGCAGTCCTCTTTGCACTCTACAAGAGTGTCCCCTTTAGTGGGTTCATTGCCTTTATTGCTCTCAATCCGTTGAGCTCCAATCCGTCCATCAACAAGCTCATTCGATTCAACATGCAACAAGCCATCTTTTGGAGATCATCTTTTCACCCCAATACCAATTAGTTAGACACAACAACACAGCCGACCCCGTTGTCAAGTTTGAAATAGCTTAAAGAATTTGTCAGGAAGGCTCGTCAGAGAGACACGCATTCGTTTGGTACCAGCCTGATTGTCATCTGTAGCTTCGGAGATTGTATAGGAGTACTTGGGACCCGAAGAATGCGAGGCCAAACTTGTTGCTGCGAATGTGTGGTCAAACTCCAATTGATGACAGCACAAGTGCAATCCCAAGCGTCGATACGACTTGTGTTCCTCCACGATATTGCTGCTGCCGCCTGTCCCAACCAGATCGTATTTGGGGTCGCCGACTATCGGTGCTCTGAGGCAGTATGCCAAATGTCGTCGCAGCTGATGATAGCGGCCCGTTTCTGGGTTCAATTCGACCATGGAAAATCTATCATTTGTCTCCAGTACTCTCCACTTCGTCGCAGCCGCCTTGCAGTCGATTGGGTAATCCACCACTCCAGAGCTTTTCTTAGTGTGTTTCTGGGAAACACCACCATCATCATCATCGCCATCTCGTGGATGACCAAAGACCACCGCAGTGTATGTTTTGTGCACTTGTCGGTTGGCAAAGAGAGCACTCAAGCGTGCAAGGGTTGATTGCGTTTTGCCCACCAAGACCAACCCAGATGTGCCCCGATCCAAGCGATGAATTGGACGTGGCCGTTGGACGGCTACAGTCTCCTTACTGGTTCGTGTTGGTGGGGTCAAGATAAATGGTAGCAGCGATTGCAGGTCCTCTCTTGTACCGGTTGTAGTAGATTCAATGGTTGTCATTCCTTCTGGCTTGTGAACCACTGCCATTTCGTCATCTTGAAACACTACCCAGTCCTCATGGTTTTGTAGAAGGGTAGTCTCTGGAGGGTACAAGTATTTGGTAATCTGCACTGGATAGAACCTGTCGGGCAAACGAGTGACTCTATGGACAGAATGACCGCTAGACAGCTTCAAGGGTGGGTCAATCGGTCGAGATATGGCATGGGGATCAAACTCCTCGTCATCCGACAAGACCAATATTTCTCCGTACCGAATAGCACGCCGAGCTCGAGAGGCGGTCGGAAAAATTTGGTTTGATAGAAGATAGTGCAACAAATTATCTGTTCTGGAAGGCGGTGGGAAATCTTCGACAATGTCAAACATCCAAGGAGTCTCTGAATTGCCTTGGATTTGGCTCAGCGCGTGTAGACCATTCCTTTGAGAGGCTAAAGGTTGCTTGTTGGACAGCGACCAACGGTAGCCCCTTGTGGTGAGACTGCTGAACCGCCAAAGAAAAATTAGCACGGCCTTCATTGTTACAAGGAGGGAGAGCTCAATGAACACCTAACACGGGCTCAGACAGTCAGGAGCATTGCACGTTCTTCTTGCCCATGGTTGTGGACAAATTGCCAGAAATGAAGGGCCGGTACCATCCACCGAAGGCAAAAAGATCCGACTTCTGCTAAATAATATTTTACAAGATACGGAAAGTACACGGCTTAGCCTTAGCTAGTCAGACTCGTCTACCGGTAGATTCGATAGCAGGCCGACCAGATTTTCATTTTCAAGTTTGCTTCAGCTTCATCATGGCTGGCTGTGCCGCCCATGAGATCGCACTCCGGAGTAGCTTGTGCTGATATGGTCCGCCAAACTCTGGATGCGGTCCAAACAATACGCTTCTCGCCAATCCGGTGCCTCCAACTTGTTCCTCTGCTGCGACTACCGCTGCTGACTCTGGCATGACTCCCACCAAGTGCTCGATATTCTTCCATTGTCGCTTCTGCTCCCTTTGAGTGGCCCCACAACACGCCTTCTTCTTCTTGGGGTGGCACTGCTGGCACCCGTTGCAAACCCAAGCTCGCGAGCTGCGGCTACTGGGTTTCTTTCTTTGGCCCAGACTGCAACACGGCCACCCAACTCTTCATCCCTTCTGCTTTTTACCCGGAACACGGGGCCACAGAGGTACGCAAATCGGCTGGATTCTTCGTCTCTTGTCATCCCTCTTCGAGTTGCAGTGATGTACTTTTGAAATCTTCTTGGAGCCTCTGCTGCTGGCCCCAGAGTCACCAGTCCTTGAAGGCCAGCCTGGTGGAACTTCTCATCTTGCACCAGGTCAACTCCGTTGACCAACCCCCTACCGCGTCGCCCCTTTGCGCACAAGAAGACAGCTCCGGCACAAATACCAACCAGCCCACCACCAGTCTCCCGACGCCAGGTCTGAATGTTCTTAATGGCACGGGCACTCAGGGCACCTTTCATCTTCTGTTCCGTCCCACCTGGAAAAATCAGCACATGGATACTTTGAAGCCCGTCCTGGTCTTCGAGATCTCCCGGTTTGATTTGCTCAATAGAAAAACGTGTTTGAGAGCTGCCGCGGACAGCTTTTTCAACGAGGCTAACGCAGGGGGTCGCCACACAGCTACGCTCCGAAGGGAGACCGTCCGCAAACACAGCCACTTTTATGGTCCTCGCGCTTGGCTCTTTTCCGAATTTCATCTTTTGCTTTGTGTTTTTGTGATCTCAGAGCCCCAGAGAGGGAATTCCAGACGTGCTTCTGTATTGGGAATCAATTCACGCTCGAGTCACAGTCGAGCCTCTCCTTTCCACATCATCAACGACTGCTGCGGCTGCCGGCTGCCAGCTGCCAACTCATCTCTGCCGCAGTTCCAGAGTTTTTGCTTTAGCTCATCAGGCTTCATCAGGTGGTGAAGCCTCCAGGCCCTCCAGGGCTTGACCAGGGTGGTTGAAGGTGATCAAGAAACCCAAGGACGAGAGAAAGCTGGAAGGCCACACAAACAATAGGATCGGAATTGCCGTAAGCGGATGGAGCAAACATCAGCAAGAAGAAACCAATGGATTGAGGTGGAAGCCAAGGGCAGTGTTCCTATTCTGCTCACTTGAACCAGCTCTTGAACCCTTTGTTTCTCGATGGAACTTCTGCCCGTGAGAACACGTGGGCAGTGGGCTCCAGCCTGCAGCGGCACCTGGTCCCTGTTCACGCTGGTACTTGCAAGTTGCAAAGCTGGGTATTAATAGCCCACTTTACTTCGCGAAAATTCGCCTTGTTCTCTTATTACCTGCTAACCGGTAGCTTTACCGTGACCCTCGATCATGACTCGACTCGTTGCAGGCCTGCTACCGCAAGCTAGCCAAAGGCCGGAAGGCTGTGCGAGGAACCAGCAGATGCAGGGACCCCCTGTCATGTGCCGTGGCTGCTGACTGGTGAATAGTACAGTGTAGCAAATTCAGCGCTTCAGCCTGCCGTCGAGTCTCCCGATGCTGTGCATGTATGTATGTACGGAGCCCTTGCTGCCTACGGCTCCTCATGGCAAGCATTGGTCTCTAAAATGTTCGATTTATACGTAGTCTCCTCGTAGCTATCTACTATCCGTTTCAAATTGGTCCTCTATTGTTGTACCGGTAGCTATCGTTTAATTCAAATCATGCACCCCTTTTTCTCAGGACCTCATGCCTAGCCCAACACATTCCATGGTCCCAAAGCCACCCTCCACTGGGCTAACAACCCGACAGCCAGGGCAAATGACAAAGTCGCAGTCGTCCTTCACGAGTAGCGCAGCACAGCAGGATAGACAGCACGTATTCAGGACTCGTCCATCATGGACAGCCTGCAAGGTCTCTTTGCTTCCTCGTAGTGGCAAAGAAAAGCCAGGCTGAATCTCAACCAAGACCGAGGTCTGTGGCTTTTCCGCAAAGGCGCCCACTCGGCTATCATAACCAGCGTATTCGTAGTTGCTGCTGAAGTCGCTCTTGAGACTCGCAGCAGAACGTGGTGGTGGTAGTTTTTGGCAGGCCGAATGATGCGATGACAACTTCTTCTCCAACTGATACGAGTCGTCATCGCCCCTTTCCGCATAGGCGCCGACACGGCTGCCATGGCTGGACGCCTGGTGATAGCTCAGACTGAAGCTGACTTCAGAAGCACTGCCGCTCTTGAGCGTAGTAGTAGGCGACGGAGGCAGTTTCCTCGAGACCGAATGGTGTGAGGACAACTTCCGATCCAACTGGAATGAGTCATCATCTTTCTTGCAGAGATGCAGGGGCATGCGCTCTTTGTTCTCCTCATAGGACGAGAAGGGGTAAGGCGGGTGCCAACTGGCCTTCGAAATCTCTGAGTAGTGGTCGCTTCCTCCCTTGCGGACACTGATGTCCCTCTCGGCAATGAAAGGGGGCGGACTGGCTGCGTCCTTGATGGCTCGGTCTGCTCCCCAGTGAGGAGACTCTAGGAGATGCTCAAGCTCTGGCGGCGGAGGTGGCGGCTTGGGAATCCCAGAGGGACGCATAAGTTCAGCAATCTTCTTTTGCCTTGCACGTTTCTCTTCTTCCCTCTTGAGCTCCCGCTTCCTTGCTTCCTCTGCCTTGCGAGCTGCCTCTTCTTCTCGGGCTTGGTACATCTTGCGCTCCTGTTCTGCATGTTCTTCCTCGCGGGCTCGGTTCTGCTCCTCGTAGTGTCGAAGAGCCTCCTCTTCTTCGGCAAACCGCCGGCTCCATCGTTGAAGCTGTTCTTCCTCGCGAACCATAAAGCTCCTTCGGTCCTCTTCTTGAGAGCGATTACGATCGGCTTCTTCATACGCAGACTCATAGTAATCTCTGCGAGGCTGTTGTGGCATGGGGGCCCACCTACGCATGTGATCGTCTTCATGCCGAGAGCGTGGGTAGTACTCTTCCGCCTCAACTTCTCCGTAAAAGCTTGGTGCTTCGGTTGTTTCTTCGTCATTGTACGCTCGTTGGTACGGAAGCGGAGGCTGCCACTCGCGTTGACTGCAGCTGGGATACAGACGAGGCGGAGATGCGCCCGCAGGACGACGATACTGGCCGTGGGCGGCGGATCTCTCACTGGGAAATTGACGCATCTGGCGAGGCGAACGAGTGCGTTGACGATGATGAGATGAAGCTATCATGTTGCCATGGTAGTCATCCTCTGAGCGTTGCCTCAGCATCTGTTTGTATTCCAAGGCCGCATAATACGCATCATCGTAGCTTCTCGACACCATCCTTGCAACTTTATAATGGTAGTGCGTGCTTTGGTTTTACTGTTTGAAAATAATGTGTAGACTACTTTGGACTTCAATAAAACAAAAAGGAGAAGCAGAAACCACGGTTGCCTTGTGCACGTGCCTCCTCCCACTCGTAAAGCAAACCCCGGCAACCTCAAGTGATCAAACGATCAAAGCAACCTACAGAGCTGCTTCAGTTGCCATCATCTAAAAAATCGCAATCGAGCCTCGTAATCAGATCTGGCTGGGATGTTCAACGTGCAAACCGGTATGGTGGAATTACTGCTTAAAGCAGTGAGGCAAAACGTGGCAGCTCGTGGCAAAGTGGGGGAAAAAGTAGATTTAAGAAGCACGTGCGTAGTACGTGGCCGATAATTGTTAGTTCTCTTTTGAGTACATTGCATAGCTATTGCATAGATGAAAATAAATGTACTCCAGAAACAATCAATTAGACTCGAGAGACGGAGACTTAACACATAGATCAATTCAACAGTGGTTAGATAGATACTTGTACGGTCCACAGTGTTCTTCAAGCTTCTCACAAACTCTCAGGTGACTCAGGTGTTATACGACAGCATTACGACTCGCGGATGGATTACCCCTTAAAAGCTTGCCGTTATTACCATGTGCAGCTAATACTTCAATTCGCAACCGAGTCGGGGAACAAGGAGCCACCAAAGCGGGTCTCAAAACATCAACCTCATAATATTATGCTGTCCGGCCAATAGATTGGCAACTGTGGAGCTGTGGAGACGATGAGCTGGACGTTGTAACTAAAAGCAGGAATGGCCAGCTGCATCTGGTGCTCTGCTACATGTACATAGATGGGCTATAGCAGCTGCTATCTGGCTGAATGATGAATCAATTGAGGAGGTCACAGGTCACAGGTCACAGGAGGAGTCGAGTCGAGTAGAGTAGAGTCGAGTCCCAGTCGCTGGGACTTCGAGGTTCAAGGGTCCAGAGAGCTACCACCAGGGTTACTTTCAGTACGAGTATGATGCGAGGTAGGAGGCGCGCGATGCATACGAGTCTCAGTACTAGTAGCTCTGAAAGCAAAGTACAAACATGACAGCGGGTCAACAGCACCACAATGTAGCAGGCCCACCCACTTCTGCCCAAAAATTTAGTCATCACCAATGAGGTGGCGGATACGGTATACGGTATACAATGTGCAGATGTGGCCAGCCCAAACGGTATACCGTTTACCCATTTTTCCTATTTTTTGTAAAGAGAATTCAACACGGTTTAGTACCCGTGTACCGTTTCAATTATTTTGTGTATGTTTACCGTTTACATACCGTTTATTCTGCTGTGGCTTGGGGTTGTGCCCTTGCTTCTTTGGAGACGATTGCAGGGGGAGGATTACCGTTTTATCGTTGTATCGTAAATCAAACTAATTTGTAAAACTGTAAACCGTATATGACAGATATTGTGTGTCTTTGACAGGTCCAACTCGTATGAACGGTAGGTAAACGGTAAACGGTAAACTGTAAGTAAATTGTTCTCACTATGAACCGTAAAGGTAGGGCAAGATGAAACTGACATTGATCAAACGTACGTATGCAATACAGTACAGTCAGAATTGATTTTTACATGGAAGCACTTTGAATCAAGCAGCTTCTTCTTGTGGAGTAGTGGTAAATGGTATGACCACTACTTAGCTAGTAGTGTAACTCACAGACTCAGGAGGATGGCAAACAACAACAACACTTTTGCTGATGCAGAGGACTTTGTTTTTTCTTCTTCTTCCTTGATTGAGTCACTTAGCAAACAAGACTAAACTGGCCTGCTACAGTTGTGGTGCTGTTGACCCCCTGTACATCTTCGGCAATCGGCATGTAGCCTACCTTCCCTGCATGCTTCTTCTTCGGCACCCTTCGGCTCAACATTTAGAGGGGGAGCACGAGGAACACGTCAATAGCCAGGATGCATGCCGATTGCCGATTGCCGATACCGGTACCAGGAGGTCGTTAGATACGTAGGTGGACTAACCCGGTAGTTGAGCAAGACCTTTCCGCTACCGTACCACATGACATTATTATACTAAACTGTAGAATGCAGCTGCAGCCTTGAGGTAAGAACCCGTACACTCTATCCAATTGATCTTTTTCCCACTTACAAAAAAGTCTTCAAAATATGTTCTCCTGGAAAGCCCTATTAGTTGACCAAATCTGAAGAGTAAGAGCAATGAAGCTCATAAAATTACAAAGCCTAAGATTCAGATTGGAAAAGTCAGATTGAAAATCTACAGTAGCTAGTCAGATTACACTGGGATCTGACTGTGAAATCGTCCACCGCGGAGGAGAGATTGTAGGCTCTCAAATAAGGGCTCTAGAATTCAGATTCATTCAGATATTCACTTCAAACAGGCCTTGTCGAGTGTTTAACAATTTCTGAAAACACTTGTGTAGCTTTTTCTGCTCCTTTGGCGGAATTAGCCCAAGGGTGCTGGTATCATCCAAGATTAACATGTAGATATCTTTTTTTAATTATCGTTTGGTCTTGGCCGCACACTAGATCGGCTACAACGTAGCTGATTTAGGATAAAGTTAGAAAATTCGTTAGCACATGCATGGAGCCATGTGTCGAGCCATACTGGCGGCCTGGAGGACGTCCTTTACTCTATCAATAGCTGTGTTGGTAGCATGCTAGCTCTATTTTGGTCTCCATACATGAATATTGATCATTGTCAGTTCGACAGCAATAAAGTAGCCGATTGGCGCACTGGTCTTCCAGTAACGATTGAACGTGATTGGATCATTTTTCTTCATTTCGCTGGAAAGTTGATCCTTGGCCATGGTATCTCCATCTTCTAGTGGAAATGACGGCCCTCCTAGTGGACAAACCCAGCCAATAGTAGAACAATGCCGTGCATCCAGTTGGCACCAGAGGACCCAATGCGCAGTGTATGAGCGTAGATCCTCAATCTGAATCATTCAGAAATGACAACACACTCACCCTCCGACAGAAGATCATCCACGCAACTGATGGCTTGGAGGTTGATCCAAGTTACAAGTTGAGGTAGAGGTAAACAGAGCGCGTACAACGAGAATTGCGAGATCCAGAATCCAGGATAGAGAAGCCTGGCCCAACAAGCCATCTTCGAGATGGCCAAGAGCAGAAACTGCACAAGAAGAAAAAATATTCAAAAACATCTGTGAGAGCGACTACTTGAACCATGAAAGCAGGAAACTCGACAGCACCGCTCCATTGAGGAGCTCATCAGAACCTGAAACAACGGACACACCAGAAGGAGGACAACGCTCCAAACCCAACAGGAGACTAGAAAAAGGAGAGCCAAAAGAATTCAAGTTGGTGGACAATCCGGGTGGTTGGTCTCCATACGTCTTCACTGCGAAATTCAGAAAGGCCAAAGATGCGAGAGACAAGAAGACGTATGCATATCATTCGCTTCCAACTGGAGCCACACCTGTCCCAGTGGATGAAGAAACTGGCAAGAGACGATTTGGTTGATTTGAGTTTCATTATTCTGGCTGGAATGGTGCCGACGACCCTCACTTCACACCCTACCGCCATGGAGCTAACAGAGATAATATGTTCCCAAAGGAAAAGGAAAGGAGCCTTGATTGCAAGAAGTTGGCAGCCCTTGGTCTCAATAAAAATAGAATGATGCAAGCAGATGGCGCTCCAGATGCATTCTTCTTTTATCAGTTGCTTCTTCCGGTTTGTGATCCATCCAAGTCTGGTGTTACTGCTGATCCAAGGAAAGGATTTTACCACAATGTTTCTCGTTGGTCGAATCTGTATGCCATGGGTGAACTTGAACTTGGAAATGGATATGGTCACGACTTTAAATGCACAAATCCTGGTGAGCTTGTTCGATGGGATGGAGTGGTCTACATGGATGGTGTACATGGAGGTAGTGATGGAGCCTTGATGAGACGTTTCGACAAAAGAGAAGGAAACACTGCTTTTTGTCCTCTTGTCAGTGGTTCGATGACAAAATCAAGATGGTTGGAAATCAAGAGAGTGTACAAGCTTTGTAACAACCTTCAAGTTGCAAAGAAAGGGGAACCTGACTATGATCCGGCTTACAAATTTGACTACATCTACAAGGTCCTGATCCATAATTGCAATGCTGTCACTAAGCAAGCAGGCCTCGATTTGGCTGCAGACGAGACGTCCTGGGGTTTCAGTGGCTGGGGAGAAGTTGGAAGTGGACTTGTTTCCCTCATCTTAAACAAACCTCACATTCACAAAGGAGGGCAAATCGTCTTGGCTACAGATGTTGACCGAATCCGTCCAAGAGCTTATGTGCACCGTCACAACCTTCACAAGCGTCCTGAGAACTGGCACTGTACTGGTGGACAGCTTGAAGCAAGATTCATCCTTGACAAGCTGTTTCCCATGACAGTTGGCTATGAAATGGGGGCACATTGCTTCACCCCCCAGAAGATCTTCACGGATTTGCCTCATCTTACTTGGGACAACCATTTTTCAGGAGATAATGTCATGAACTATGCTGCTGCAAAGGGATTCGGCATGACAATGACATGCCGCCGTGACAGATTACCTCATGGTATTCCTTCTATGTATTTCCACAAGAGAAACGGCTGTCAACCCCAAAGTCAAGGCGCAGATTTGAACGTCCTATGATTGCAAACGAAGCATTGACTGCAGAATCCACCACGTCATATGTTCCTTCCAGTCAACATCATCATGCAATATTGCTACAGTGAATGCCCTTAACCGCTGTGATCTTTATGCACACACCAAGGAACGTGGAAGAGCTACTAACAAAAGACAGTGGGCTATTGAGATGAATGAGGCTCGAGAACTGTATCTAAAAACTTATGGCTTTGTGAAGAATGGATCAATGATACAGAACTGCAAATCTCTGCTACCGTAATGTACAATGGTGACACTCGTCGATGCGTTTCCGGCTATAATCCTCATTTGTTTTGCTTTTGTGGTAGATCGTGGAAATATTGGCATGCTGCCATGCTCCATGCAAAAGGGATGGCCATTGTTGTTGCTTATGACATGTACCAGGAATGCGCGGAAGGTGGCTTGAATGAAGATTGGAAGGTAAAGCCAATCGATTTTTGGAGATTTCGAAAGAAGCTTGGAAAAGCAAATGTGTA